GAACGGAAGCATCATGGGATGACTAAGACTGCGTCATGATGGGGAATCACTTGTTACGTAAAAGCATTGCCGAAAGTTCCTATTAGCCTATTATTATGCGATAGTGTTTTAATCAATATGGTAATAAAAATACATGAAGTCTACCAGCCGATAAGCTAAGCAGTTCGCAAGCACTACGTATATTTGTTTAAACATTTCCTGGGAACTTGTGCAGCAGCTGGAATTATCCGTAGAGTGATGACTGATTAGACTGCAACAGACAGACATTGGCGTACCAAAATTAAATTTTCAGATTAAACCCGATTATATATATTTATGACAGCAGATTATGGCTTATTTTCAAAATCTTATGGCGTGCATGTTCCATATCATCATGACCGCGGCCGTCATTTTAAGCGTGCTTCTTTTAATCATGGCTGTAAATTTGGCTAACGAGGGCAGTTGGAAAAGTTGCGATTATTTGAGATGCTAGCAAAAATCTTATGTATTTTCACACAATGTAAAACAATTTAGATATTATGTATGCATAAATAAAAATAATATAATATGATTTAATATAAGTATTGCTATTTTTATTTCATTTCCCTTGTTTAGTGGTCCTTGTCGTTTATTTTTTTTTTTTATTTATCATTTATTGGCATTGAACCGCCCTCGCATTTATTGTTATCAATTTTAAACTGAATCATTGGCGCTATAAAAATATATATTTTTAAAATTTTTGACCAGAAACCCCGATTTTATGACTATTCTTTTCCATGCTATAAAAGAGTGTTACATTTGGGTGGTTCTGCTAGTTGAGCAATTCGAAACGCTGGGTTCAGTACGGAAAAAACCAAATAGTTAGCAAAAATGAGCGATGAGGATTATCTGGTAAAGGCTTCAATGCCAACAACAAGTGAATCATTTGTGCTAACTATGAAACTAACGCGCAGATATCGGAAGAAAATGGCAATGTGCTCTCCAAAGATCTGGCCAGAAAGGATATCAACGTAAGGCCACCCTGGTACTTTGGCACTGGATTCCTGCTCTTCTGGGTCCTACTCTTCTTCGCAGTGGTAATACCGCTCTTCTATCGCCTGCCCACAGCGCTGACCATCGAGGATGACAATAAAGGCGAATTCATCGGAGATCGCGCCTACAACACGCTCAACAATCTGGTTAATATTGGACCCAAGGTGGTGGGCAGCACTGCCAATGAGGTGGACACTGTGCTTTTTTTGCTCAACGAACTAGTGGAGATCAGAAAGGTTCTACGCCAAGACTATTTCACCATGGAGATAGACATTCAGCGTCCCTCGGGCGCACTCAGATACAGCAACATGCTCAACATGTACCAGGGCGTGCAGAATATAATTGTGAAATTGAGCTCGAAGAACTCGACAAGCGAGTCTTATCTACTGGTAAACAGCCATTTTGATTCGCAGCCAACTTCCCCGGCAGCAGGTGACGATGGCTTCATGGTGGCCACCATGTTGGAGGTGCTGCGTGTGATGGCAACAACACAGCAGCCCTTCGAGCATCCCGTTGTCTTCCTATTCAACGGAGCTGAGGAAACTGCATTGCAGGCATCCCATGGTTTTATTACGCAACACAAATGGGCACCGAATTGCAAGTATGTTGCGGATTAGTTCAACTTTTTTATTAGGAAAATTCCAATTCAAGAACTGCATTTGCAGAGCTGTCGTCAATTTGGACTGTGCGGGCAGCGGGGGACGCGACATTCTGTTTCAAAGTGGACCCTCCCATCCGTGGCTTGTTGATGTAAGAACCTAAAGGGCACTCTTGAGTTAATGCATTGCTCTAAGACCTTTCACGTTCTTACAGTACTACAAGAAGAGCGCCAAGCACCCATTTGCCACAACCTTGGGCGAGGAAGTGTTTCAGTCGGGCGTGATTCCATCGGATACAGATTTCGCTGCCTTTGTGCAATATGGCCATATACCAGGTATTTCCAGAAATTAAGCTAATATCTTCTTAAACAGTTTTAACTTATTTCGTTGACTGTTTAGGCCTCGACATAGCCCAGGTGATCAATGGCTATATCTATCACACCAAGTACGATCGCATTGATGTGATTCCCCGCGGCGCGATGCAAAATACGGGTGATAATATTCTCAGTCTAGTGCGCGCTTTGGCGAATGCAACCGAATTGCACGACACAGAGGTAACATTTCAGTTTGTTATTATATGAACAGGACTTGGTATAGCTTCCACCTTAAACACAGGCACATGAAGAAGGACACGCAGTTTTCTTTGACTTTCTGGGCCTGTTTTTCATCAGCTACTCGGACCAAACTGGCCAAATATTGAACTACTGCGCGGCTGTAACTATGCTCATCCTGGTTTTCATCTCTATGTGGCGCATGTCAGCTGTTTCCAGTCTGTCCCTTGTTCACGTCCTGAAGCGCATTTCGATACTGCTGGCTCTACAGATTCTGGCCCTGGTGCTAGGCCTGGCGCTGCCTCTGCTAGTTGCCTGTATCTTCGACAGCTTCGGCTCGTCCTTGACCTACTTCAGCTCTCTATCGCTTCTGATCGGTCTTTATGTCTGCCCTTCGCTTATCGGAATGAGTCTGCCCATCACAATCTACTATCAGCTGAAAAGGAAGGTGAGTGTGCAGGTTGATAAGTTAAACTCCTCGCAGCGTCTAAGCTTTAGTCCTTTCAGAATAAGTTGCCTTTTCCCCATCACCTGCAACTGGCTTTGCATAGTTGGGCCGTCGTTTTGGCTCTTCTGGCTATAGGATTGACCGCCTATGGCTTGCGTTCCGTCTATATTATCACAATTCTGATTATCTTCTATGGCAGTTCCTTGGCACTTAATCTATTGACGACGTTCCATGATCGTGGGTACAGTTGGACGGGCCTGCTAATGCTTAGCCAGGTGATGCCTTTCCTGTACAGCAGCTATCGCATCTACCTCTTCCTTGTCGTGGTGATACCAATGAGTGGTCGTGCCGGCAGCTCCATGAATCCAGATCTGGTTATTTCTCTCTTGGCTGCTTTGGGTGCGATTATGTCCTTTGGCTTCTTGGTAAGTTAGCACCTATCAATTTTCCGATTAGAAGCTAATGGATTGCACGCGTAGATGCCCCTGATCAACATGTTCCGTCGTCCTTATCTAATCGTGCTTTGCATACTGTCAGTAACTGCGATTACTGTGATTCTCGCCACTGGCACTCAAATCGGTTTTCCCTATCGCCCCAAGGCGAGCAGCGAGCGGGTGTCCTATCAGGTATTTACTGATCTATTGATTGGTCGTTATCTTATCTAATACATTCCATTTGCCAGCATGTGCGCAAAATCTTTTACGAGTACGATGGCACCATTAGCAAGGACGAGTCCGGTTATCTGTTTAGTTTCCAAGATCGACGCGAGGCGGCACCAATGATGATGCGCATGGCAGGTGCCGAGAATATGATACACGACTGCGACAAGCACATGATGTGCGGAGTACCATTATACGATGAACGTTGGGTCGACAATCGCCTGGAGGGTGTATGGTTGCCTCGGGAGAAACCCATTGAACCACCAGCTAAAACAGAACTGACGCTTTTAAGTAAAACCATACTGGAGAACAATACAACGGCGCGCTTTGAATTCAAATTGGTGGGCCCGGATCATATGAGCCTGTTCATTCAGCCCTATGAAGATGACTTCGTAGCCGTGAGCGACTGGTCTTTTGAGCGCAGTTACCTCGAGGATCCCCCACCCCATCCACTATCATACCATATCTACTTTACGTATGGCATAGATACCTCACCCCTGGAATTCTATCTGGACATTTCGGTAAGTTGGAATAGTTTACGTAATTGAACACGATGAGCATAGCATTCTATTATAGAAACCCAATGGAGACTTCAACGTGCCACTATTCCAATTGGGCGTATCGGGTCATTACATAGGAAGCAAAGGAGATGCACTCAGTTTGGAGTTCGCAGAATCATTTCCAGACTATGCAGTGCTTGTCGATTGGCCCTCGTCATATGATAGGTACATTTTCTAGTACTGTAAATGAAGCGCTAAAACCCAATTAAGCAGCCATTAAATGATATAAGTGCTGCGGGCGATTAGCTGTATTCAATATATACATATATATATCAAATTAAACAGCTACCCATTCGAGCAGCTCAATTCCTGAGCATAGGCACTGCAACAGTAAGAATATGGCCATGGCGAGCCCTTAGTTTCTTTTGAATTTAGTGCACACAACGGGTAATATCGGACAGAAAAATAAATAACAAATCCCAACAAGACATTACAAAAAACAAATGTGCACTTTCTCGGCTCAAAAACTCGGAGCTCTATTAACACAATTTATTTGAATTTTTTTCATTTGGTGTGAAGATAAATTTTAACATGAAGTTAAAAGGCATTTACAATGCAATGCACTAATGCACTTAAACATGGCAGCACTGACAATCCTGCGAAAATATTTAACAGTTTGATAACTAGATCAGAGCTGAGGCAAGGAAAATCAAGTTTGACAGCCGGTTAAACCGGTTGTCAGATGTGGGCAAAGCAAGTGCAGCTGTGCCATGAATTTTGAGCGCACAAATCAACTGTGGCGCCCACTGTGCCACTTAACGTCGACGACAATTGGACACACATAACGACACACTGGCTCATATATGTATACGTACGCATGTCCACTGACGCATCTGTAGAGCTTTTTGACATTTGTTTGACACAGAAGCCGCTTGCCCCCGGCGACGCACTAATTTCCAGGAATTTCACGCCACTCTTCGCTTTACGCTTATCTCGCTCTCAAGTCTCTGGCGACTCTCGGCTGGGCATGAGGAGCAAAAGGCATATGGTATATGCAAATTTTTGAATGTATCTTCACACGATCTACTGCGATCTGCCGCTTGTTAACTGCTGCACAGATTGAGCCGGCACCCGCGGCTTTTGGCCATGTTGAAAATGAATTTTAATTGTTGTTGCCACGGAAACACGGCCGTGACGAGGGGGATGCCTAATGGACAATAATTTACAACAAATTGGCCAACAGAGGACTGGAATTTATTACGAAACGAAAATGTACAGAATCAGGCAGGACCAATTACTGAACGCCAAATCCTAAATAGCCAACAATCAAAGCTATTCCTGGTCAGTCAAATATTGATAGCGATTGGAGTGCGGTCTACTATCCTGCCGCTTATAGTTGTTGCCTCTGCTGTAGTTATTGTAGTTGTTGTTTCTACTGTAGTTGTTGTTGTAGCTGCTGTTTCTACTGTAGTTGTTATAGTTGTCGCTTCTGCTGCTGAAGCTACTGTGGTAGTTGTTGTTGTTATTGTTGCTGCTGTTGTTATTGTTGTACCTGCGGTAATTGTTGTAGCTGCCGTTGCTGCTTCTGCCATATCCTTGATCTTCCACATGGCGAAGGCGATTGTTCTGCCTGGGCTGCCAATTGCTTTGCTCCCGATAGCGTCCATTGTCTGCCGCCTGATAATCGTTGTGTCGTATTTGCTTATGAGCCGTCTCCTCGCTGTGGGCCTCCTGACGCCAGCGCTGCGGCTGCCGATGCTGCTGCTGCTGCTGCCAGCCATTATTTTGGCTATCATTTCTGGGATTGCGCCATTGCTGGCTTTGCTGCTGCGGCTGCGGCAGCGGCGGCCGCTGTTGCCAGCCATTCTGATCCTGTTGACGATTACGCCAATTTTCAGATTTGTCATCGTAGCGCCTCTCAATGCGAGTCTCATGCGGCTCATCCCGTGGCCTGTGTCTACCCCCTCTGTGGCTGCTGCTCTCACTATGCTGTCTGGTCCGATCTGGTGTGGAATCCAGATGCCGTAACGACTTTGTGTAGTTTTCACGCTCAATTTTGTGGCCACGCGCATCGGCAAAAGCTGCAAGTCGAAATTGGGATTATTAGCAGCTGTTTCTTTTGGCTTAGTTGAAGCTTTCTGTTCATTGATTTACGCACTCTGTATGGCCAATTTGGGCGACATATTCATCTTGGTGATCATAAAGTAGCAGATCAGATAGCCGGTACGATTTACGCCGTGTGTGCAGTGCACGCCAATGAGTTTGTCTGTAAAGTGGAGTATTTGGAGAGTTCCTCTTGTCTATTGTAATTATTTGTATTTAAATGACAAGCATCATGATCTGTCAGTTGGAAATTCTACATTAAATTCATGCACTGCCTAAATGGGTTGACACGTTTCTTTTTTTGGGGCTCGGTTACTGTTTAGGGCAGAGAAAGCATTTAGCTGCCGCTGGCAGCTTCATGTCGCCACAAATTGCTACAAATTTCATTTCAAAGCCAGCCAGCCACAGGAATGCGCCTCGCCTCACCTCGCCGCGGCTCGCCCACGCCGAGTCGCCAAACCGGCTGCGTCTCTGCATAGCTCTGACTGTGCTTTCAGGTAGAGGGGTAGCAGGAGCAATTGGTATTAAAGCAGAAGCGGCGACCTGAGCTAAATCTAGAAAACAGCGCGCGCAATGCCAATATGCACAACATTGGCAATAAATTTCATACAAGCAACAACAAAAAACATGTCGGTCGTGCGGGGGAAGGATGCAGCAAAAAGTCGTTTTGTGGTGGTGCGCTATGCGGGTGCTATGGCTGCGGCCAGTCGAAACTGCCAGTTGTACGTCATGTTTTTGGTTGCGTTTAAGCCAACTTGCAACAAGAGCAATGCAACAGCATCCTTGTGTCGCAATCGGGTGCACAATGGGCAATATGATTACCCGCTCAATGAATTTCACATATATCAGCACTCCAGACAGCCCGGCAATTACGAACAATGCTGTCTGGCTAAACCATACTAAAGTTAAGCACTTATGGGATAGAGTATTTTGTTGTTATAGCAACATGCATTAAGCTGGCAGACTATGCATATCACCACGCCTAATTACCAGTATTTTTCACACGTGCATTTGTTGAGCAATATTTTGAATGCTAGCAGTATGGCAACACTGGCGACTCATAGCTAAAGCTATTTTAGAGCAGCGAGTTGTTTGCCCCACTGTCAAACGAATGAGCCCTGCTGCTTTTATGGGCACATGGACAAGTGCCGACCACCTTGCATTTTTCTCATATACGTACTTATTGATTTCTTGCCTTGTGCGCGATTTATTTGCTTGGCAGTTGTAAAATGCAGCGCAGACAGTGGGATTTTTATTTTTGGGCAATCCCACTATTCGTAATCTGTAATCTGTTAACATAAGACAAACAACCCTGATTATGGACCTTTTCGCTGGTTGGCAACGCGGAACATTCGATGGCGTTAAAAATATTTTTGTTTAATTATAATTATTAAAACTAGGTTAAAGCCCGTTTACTTTAAAGGCGAAATTCGACATCTCACCCTTTAAAGCTCGCGCCGTGCCTACAATTCAGCCTACACAATTCGCAGCCAGTTCTGGAGGAGTTCAAGAAGACTCCTATTAACCTGTTGAGAACGGAGTATTGCGCAGTCAGTTGCATCCGACTGAAAAAGATCCCGCTAGATCTTTTTGCCTGCCACTTGGAACTGAGACCGGGAACAGACTCTGAGAGACGCCCACTTCTATGCGCCAGTTAAAGGTTAAATAGTCTTTCTTTTTTTTTTCTTTTTGGTCACTTGCCACATTTCTATTTGGCTGCAAGGTATGTTTATTGTGCGCTTGGCAGCTGATAGGCATCTAGAGGCTGTGCTGCCTCCTCCACATGGTAATTGCATGTTACACGTGGACGGCGACTCGCTTTTGATATACATGATTTCATTGCATATTTCGAGCTCTAATTGTGTTGACAGATATGCATCTGCATAGCTGATGTGGGGGAAAGCGTTCCCACGGCACGCTGAGCAGCGCCAGTGAGTGGGCGGTGTGGTTAACAATTTATGCACTTACCATTATCCGGATTTGCCTCCAGAAAGCTTGTCACATACTGGCAAAATCTGCAATTAAAGAACGGTTTATTAGCTGAAAGCAGTCGACGCTTGACAATGAACGCACCTTTGCGCCAGCTCCTTGGGCGGCGTCTGATGGCCCGGTATCATGAGCTTTTGATGCGCCACATTTTGATCCGTGAAGGTCTGCAAGAGAGAGCATTAATTAAATTAGTTGAGCGACACAGTGGCACAGCAGTTGCACTTGCCTGAGGATTGTAGTAGCGATTGGTGTTGGTCAAGTCAACGATCAGGCCCAGATTTGGCACAGACTCCAGCAGCGAGTGTGGCGCCAGACGCAGCTGCTCGTCATCGATGCCCTCATTGATATTCTGTGAAAAAGGCAAATATCAGACATATGGAGAAAACATGCTGAAATTGCTCAATTTATGCAACGGCCGGCGGCGGTACAATTAATAAGCTGCCAAGGAGCAACTCCACGGCGTCATTTAATTAAGCCAAAACAATTTAATTTAATATTCATGCGGCTGCGTGGGGTCCTTCTGCTGATGTTGCTGCTGCTGCTGCTGCTGCTGTGTGTGGAACAACATGTACCACTTGCCACTTTTATGCATAATTGCAATACACACAAAATTCGCTCCCTTTTGTTATTTATTTTTAGAGGGGCCCCTCGGCCGGTGGTCCACATTTCAACATCAATCAATTCGCAGGCGGCAGCAGCTGCTGCTGCTTCTGCTCCTGCTAACCGGTTATTGGGGTCAGTTATCGGGGGGCGGCTGCACTCACCTCACGCAGCGGCACTTTGAATGCTATGAAGCGTGTACCCGCAATCCGCTCGCCAATAGGCCGATAATTAAGCCAGCTGCAGATAGAATAGAAACCAAAACAATGCCACGCTTAGTTGTAAGTTATGAAATTGCAGCGTAGCCAACAAACCTACCGATCAGGAATGGCTTTGCCCATTATTTGCAAAGTTTATGCTACAGTTGAGAAACTAAACAACAATTTATACACATTGCAAGAATTTTTACCGTGTGCTATATACAAAATACAAATGTATACATATACACATGCACACACAACTTGCATATGGCGAGCATCTGATTTGGCGTTGCCATGTTGCTGCATTTAAGTGCCGGCATTGCTGTTAACTAACAGCAGCTGAATGTGCTAAATATTGCCAAGCGCGAACAGCTGACAAAACGACTTTTGGACTTTCTGCGATTGATACTGTAGCAGCAGGTACTCTTCAATTCAATTAACATTAATTGTTTATAATAACCTCGTTTTTCTTCTAAAAGTTGAAGCCTTAAAGAAGCACAACATGTTTGCCAACAACACCCGCAATCTAGTGCGCAGCAGCTTTGTATGTATATTAATTAAATTGCCAAAATAAAATGGCGCACGATCAACCAAAATTTAATAACATATTAAATAATCAATTTGCGTCTTACAGCTGCAGCGCTGCAAGAGCACATTGGTCGTGGCGGAGCACAACAATGAGACACTTAATCCACTCACACTGAACACCATTACGGCGGCCAAGAAGATCGGCGGTGACGTCACGGTTTTGGTAGCAGGCACAAAATGTGGACCCGTAAGTTGTGTTATTGTTGTTGTTGTTATTAAATTTGTTGCATAATCATGCTATTTTGACATTGATTTTAGGCTTCGGAAGCTGTGGCGAAGGTTGAGGGCGTTACCAAAGTTTTGGTCGCCGAAAATGCCGCCTTCAAGGGCTTCACCGCCGAATCCCTGACCCCATTGGTCCTGGCCGCCCAATCGCAGTTCAAGTTCACGCACATTTTGGCTGGCGCCTCGGCGTTTGGCAAGAATGTGCTGCCACGTATTGCCGCCAAGCTGGACGTATCGCCCATTTCTGAGATTATCGATGTCAAGTCGGAGGACACATTTGTGCGCACCATTTATGCGGGCAATGCGATACTTACACTTAAATCCAAGGATCCCGTCAAGGTGATTACAGTTCGTGGCACAAACTTCCCACCTGCTGCCACTAGCGGCGGCAACGGCGCCGTGGAACAAGCGCCAGCCGGCGACTACGCCAGCAGCCTGACCGAGTTTGTGTCCCAGGAGCTGACCAAGTCGGATCGCCCAGAGCTGACGGGTGCCAAGGTTATTATCTCTGGCGGTCGTGGACTCAAGTCCGGCGACAATTTCAAGCTGCTCTACGATCTGGCTGACAAGTTTGGCGCAGCTGTCGGCGCCTCACGTGCCGCTGTCGACGCTGGCTTTGTGCCCAACGATCTGCAAATTGGCCAGACGGGCAAAATTGTGGCGCCCGATCTATACATAGCTGTGGGCATTTCCGGTGCCATTCAGCACTTGGCCGGCATGAAGGATTCCAAAACGATTGTGGCCATCAACAAGGACCCCGAGGCGCCCATTTTCCAGGTGGCCGATATTGGTCTAGTGGCGGATCTGTTCAAGGCTGTGCCCGAGCTAACTGGCAAATTGTAAAGAATGTTTAGTTCTATAAAGCTAATTGATTCTATCAAATTTAAGATTTAAATTGTGCATTTATTTGAAAATAGTCTTTGCGGCAACTGTCCGCCCGTCGCTTCCCGTCTGCGCGCTGTCATAATGTTTGCTTTTCCTTTTTTGTAATAAAAACTAAGCCGAACGTCTGACTATTTAATGTTGTTGTTTTTTGTTGCTCATTATGTCGGCGCTCAGAAAATAAACGCTCTTATTAATTGGACAGATTGTGCGACTTATGCATCGCGTGTTATTCTAGAAGATCATTATGACGTGTTATCAGCAATGCTCGTGTTAATTAGCAGAAATATGCTGTAAGAAGCATGTGTTAACAGTGGTCAAGGCTGTTATGTTTTGTGACGACAGAAAATGTAAATGTAACGGCAAACTGAAATTGTGAATGCGACAGACAAAATTTGCAACGATTTTCGGAATAAAAACACTTCAGACCTTATCTGTGTCTCGGTTATTTGCGAGAGCATGCCATATACTTCTAGACTACCGCCATATCTACGGTATGCATAACACTAACAGCCGAGTCTAATCCATTATTCTTATCATTGCAATTAATTAAGTTTTCTACCGACTATCTAATGTAATTCCTTCATGATTTGGTGTCCATCAACAATAATTCCACACACATTTGCTTAATTCAATCCCATTGAGCTTTCCGAGTAAGCACGTTAACATTACGCATGCGGACTTTCAAGCGGATAGTAAATATGGGGGTTCGAATGTAAACACAGATGCAACAGATTTTTTCTACATATATGTAGTACTTTCCTCATTTGACGCGTTCATAATTTCCAGCTGATAATTGTGCAATAAAGTATGCTAATAAACTGAAATGACACAATGACTTTGTGCCAGCGATTCAGTGAAACAAGAAAATCTTGCTAACGAAAGGAAAAATTGAAAGCTGCGATCACGAGTGAGTGACAGAGAAAGAGCGAGTAAATATAGAGCACTTGCTATAAGCTTATCAAACAGCAGAGGGCAAGTAAATAAGGAACTGAATCAACTGCAACTGAATTGAGCAGCAGCGCTCAATGCGTACATTGTTGTGTGACAGCACTTTCATTCACGCCGACGCCGACGCCGACGCCAACGCCAACGCAGACGCAGACGTTGACGTGAACGACTCTGTTATGTGATAGAGCGTCAAGTATTTACAGCAGGTATATTCTGTTAAGTCGACTCGGTAATGCGCTGCGATTTATTTTAACGGATTTTGCAAATAATTTAAAAATTTAAATTTAATTTAAAAACTAATAATATTTAATTATAAAGAAATAACATAGTCAAGGAATATTAATTAAGATATCATTCAGTTGAATAAGTTATAATAAATAAATAAAATTAAACAGCTTATGGCTGGATTCAGATATATAGCTTAATATTCTTTTAATAATGACTGCCTGTTGCAAACACAATCTGTTAACTAAACATGCCCACAAAACAGGTCGCTGGGTATCGCCTAGCGACATATGCTCGGGTCTGTGAACGTTGGAACAAATGTAAGCGCTGGCCGCCTGAGCTAGTCACTTATCACTCGGCGAGCTGGAGAGACACATTGGTAAACACTCTCGAAGCTACGTGCAACAATTTCAGCTGCAGTAAAGAGAACTAAATTCGTAAGGAAATAAAATGTATAAGACGCCAATGCACGAGCTGCGTCGCGTGTGCGTCATTGGAGGTATTAAATTGAGTGCTTAATGAAATTTATGAATGCTGAGAAACGTGTGGAAACTATTTTGGTATTTTAGCCGGCACTGCGGGATTGAGCGCCCTGAAGAATGCACTCGAGGAGGGTCTGGAAGCGGTGGCCTACGAGCAGGGCACCGAAATCGGTGGCACCTGGGTGTTCTCGGAGGAGATGCCCAAGGATGAGTACGACGAGGTGCACAGCAGCATGTACGAGGGCTTGCGGTAGGTTAAAAGCGCTAAGCAGATAATCACACATACTATATATTATCTTGGGTGCAGCACTAATTTACCCAAGGAAGTGATGGGCTATCCGGACTACCCGTATCCCACGGAGATTGACGAGTCGTTCATCACATCGCAGCAGGTTCTGGAATTTCTTCGCTCCTATGCCGATCATTTCAAGCTCCGGCCGCACATCAAACTGCAGCACGAGGTCATCAGGGTGCGTCCCCGTTCAAACGATTGGGAGGTGAGTGCTGACGTCTGATACAATCTGGCATTCATCATGCAATGTTCCGAATTTATTATGCAATAATAATTAAATATATATTGTTGTTGTTTACATTGCACGATCTTGCCCGGCGATTGAATTCCGATTTACCTACCTACAATCTATAACAATAATAATTGATAAAGGTCTATGTGTGGGATCACATCAACGACACCTGCGATACGGTCTATTTTGATTTCATCTATGTCTGCAATGGCCATTACACGGAACCGGATATGCCTACAATCGAGGGCATGGATCTGTTCGAGGGTCGGCAAATCCACAGTCATCTATATCGCAAGGCTGACAATTTTAAGGGTGAGCTCAAGTGCAGATAACAAATAAATTCAAATAAATATTATTTTGATAAGATTCGATACCCGTCCTAACCGTCCTGCCCAGCAACTTCTGTATCCCCCCCGTCCTCCCTCCCCCCTCCCCGTGCACGAGATATAAACTATCAGTCGCAAAAACTTTTAGCCTAGTTACAGACGGAATTTTGTTTTCATATTATAAATAATCGAGTCTTATCAAGCACTCAAGATGTTTGGGTTCTGGTTGCTCGGTGTCTGACCTAATCACAAAATAGTTTTAATAGTGTATACCCATGGTAATCCACTAGTTTCCATGTTGGAGCCAACTGATAAACGAAGAGCACTTGAGCAAAAAACTTTTCCAGGTTTTATAGCACAATCTGAGCTAAAGACAATGCGTATTATCTGCATATCTTTTGATAAATGAATATGCAAATTAAACAGATGTTTCATGTTGAATCATCTGACCTTCGTGATAAATGAAATATGGTGCTATTTTTTAACATATTTTTGAATAATAATCGATTTTTGTTCCGGCAGATGAAAAGGTTTTGATCATTGGCGCCGGTCCCAGTGGCATGGACATCACGAATCACATTCGCAAGGAGGCCAAGCATGTGTTTCTGAGCCATCATCTGGCGCAAACGCCGAACACCGCGTTTATGGGCAATGTGACACAAAAGCCGGACGTGGAGCGGTTCACCAAGGACGGCGCCATCTTTAAGGATGGCAGTCGGGAAACGTTTGAGCATGTGGTCCATTGCACCGGCTACCAGTACAGTTTTCCGTGCCTGAGCACCGACGTGGGTGTGCAGGTGATCGATAATTTTGTGCAGCCACTGTGGAAGCACTGCATCAACATTAACAATCCGACCATGTCGTTCATTGGACTGCCCTTCAATGTGATACCCACGCACATATTCGACATGCAGGTCCGTTTCACCCTCAAGTTTTACAGGGGCAAGCGGGAGCTGCCCACACGGGAGCAGATGATTGCCGACTTGGAGAAGGAGCAGGGCGAGCGCTGGGAATACGGTTTCGTCAATCGCAAGAAGGCCCATCAAATGGGCGAGCGCCAGGTGAGCATTGCTTACGAATTATTGAAGTCCCGCTTATGATAACTTATTTGTTATAGTTTGACTATTACAACGAGCTGGCGAATATGACGGGCATTGAAAATATAAAGCCCGTTATTCTGAAGTTGATGAAGGATTGCGGCAAGAAATATATATTTGAATTGGATACCTACCGCAATTATCGCTACAAGGTCATAGATGATGAAAATTTCGCCAAATATCCGCTGTGATGGCATTACGATTTATATGTATTTTATGTTTATAATGTAGTTTTTGTTGCACTTAATTATACAAATTAAGAAAATAAATTTACCAATTCAAAACAAAACAAAACAAAACACGATTGAATGTCATAGCACGCAGCTTTACGTAGTTTCACTGTTTGTTTGTCGAGTGGCAGCACTGTTGCGCTCAAAAAGAACTGTTAACATAAGGCCAGCTGTTAAGCAGCCTAGCCTTCATATAAAGCTTCTGTTAAATTTTAAAAATGTTTCGATTCTTGATTTCAATTTGTAATTTTTTTTCAAACAGCTTTAAATAGCCTATTAAAAATATTATACATATATTGCTGTTGCTTTATGTACAGTATTGTAATAATTTATTCATTCTGATTTTGCCCGCACTATGTGCTACTACAGTTTTTTATAATTATAATTGTAATTATGTTTATTTAAGTCAGCACGCATACTTCCATAATATGAGCTAATATTTTATAAGGGCTACTACTATTTCTACTACACTTTTATGTTAATACCTATTCACTACTGTTTTGCTTTAGCACTGTTGTTGCTGTTCATATTGCACGCTTCCTCTTCTTCCTTACTGTTACTGTTGCTGCTACTGTTGTTGTTGTTGTTGTTGCTGCTGCTACTGTTGCTGTTGCTGTTGCTGTTGCTGTTGCTATTGCTGTTGTTGTGCGCATCGAATGTTTCCAGCTCCTTCAGCGCAATCTTCTGGAAATCACAATCAATAATCCTTTTACGCTTGCGCAATGGCCGCGTGCTTTCCGCAGTGCAGTTGTTGCCGCTGCCGCTGCCAATCCCGCTGCCAGCTGTAGGAGATGTGGGCGTGGCCGTATCTTTGGTTTGGATGAGCGTGCGTTTGGTTTGCAGGCGTGTTATCTTTAGCTTGGGCAGTTTCTGTGTCTCCAGCTCGGCTGAGGCACTGTCATTGGCGTCGACTGCCGCCGGCTCCACGTTGTGCACCACGATGCAGTGCGTCGCCTCCTGCGTGGCGTCCGGCGAGTCTGTGGTGGGCGATGTGGCTGGCGAAGGTGTCGTTCCAGCTGGCTTTGTCTTTGGTATGGATTTCATCTCTTCCTCCTCCACGTACTCCTCCTGTTGCAGTTGCTGTTCCGGCTCCTGCTGCTGCTGCTGCTGCTGCTCCTCCTCCTGCTGTTGCTGTTGCTGCTGCTGCTGCTCCGGTTCCAGTTCCTGCTCTGTTTTGGCCTTGCTGCAGTCCAGCGGCTGTGGCTGCTCCTCTGCCCTGCTCGTGCTCTGCGCCGCGACGCGCTCCTCATCGTAGCGCTTGCGCTGCTCAGGCGTCAGATACGCCTTGTAAAAGTCCACAATGGGCAATGGCACTGGTATGGGTATGGGCAGCGGTATTATTATTGGATAGGGCACCATCACAGTGACGGGTGGCGCAGCGCCCAGCAGTGCGCCCAGGGCGCCCTGCAACTCCGGTTGCAGCTGTGGCTGCAGCTGCGGCGGTGGCGGCGGTCCGAAGTGTGCGCCAAATCCACGCGGCAGCATGCCGGGCGGTGGCGGCAGGAAGGGATGCGGCGGCGGTGGCGCTGCTCGAGCACCAAATGGATGACCCAGCATGCCGTTGGGCGGCGTAGCAAAGTAGCCGCCCGGCATGCCGGCGGGTGGGCGACCCATTGGCTGTGGCAACTGGGGCGGCGGATGCTGTTGATGCTGCTGCTGGGGCTGCGGCTGGTCCGGCATGGGCGATAGCGGGGGCAGCGGCACACTGGAGCCGGCAAAGTCTGCGCTCAACGGCGCCGGCTGCTGTTGCTGCTGCTGTTTCTGCAACAAACTAGCGACCGTTTCGGAGCCAGCAGCTCCGGCAGCGCGATGCGGACGCTTGCGCCGGCCCGGCTTGGGGCCAGCGTGAACATGGTGCCGCTGTAGCTGTGGCAGCGGCGGCGGCGGAGCACCAGTTGTAATTGAGGAGCTAGCGGGGCTCTTTTGCGCCAGCAATTTGGATACGGGCGCCACTGAGATCAGAGGTTTGTTTGGATGGCTCGGCGGTGTGTTGCAGGGCGAGCTGCGCTTGGAGGCATTCGCAATGCAGACTGCCGCCGGTCCGGGTGACACCGAAATGGTGGACGCAGGCGAGGCAGACCGACTGCGACAGTTGCGCAGCCAGAGATCGGGCGTTATGAGACCCGCTCCGTCGCCGGCGGCGGCAGCCTCCAGGCCCTGATCGCGCAGATGCGGATTCATGTCCAGGTGCGCCTGCGTCTCGTTGCAGAAAATCTGCATCTTGTACTGATTAAGACACTTCTCCGAACAGAACTGCAGTTGCGAGGCACCATCCTGGAAGTCCACATAGCTGACAGCGTGCCGCACATGCTTGCACCAGTCGCAGGTTTTCGCCTTCTTGAAGGACGCACGACGGCTCTGCGTAAAGCAGGACTCGGAACAATAACGAGGTCCATCTGTGCTGGTTAGATAATCCGGCGCATTCTCAGCGATCGGCCGATGGCACCAGCAGCAGTTGTTGTAGTCTGCAAAGAGGGAGCGAAGAAAACATTTAAACATGGCATAAGTCGGGCTATTGAGAAGCGCAGAGAGGGGCAGCTGCAAGCAAAGCCTCTACAGCTCATCTTATGTTTTTTATCTTTCACTAGTATGGTCGCATATAATATTCATTCAAGTTTAAAGATAAACCCATTAAAATTTCGAATACAATAATATTTTAGTCCGTTCTGGCATTATGCCCAAGCCTTTGCTTTATTTTATATATGCTACCTAATTTGTTCCTCTGGCTTACGTAGATTCTGAAAAGATAAATCTAACTCATCTGTTGCTAGTTACAAGAGTTCACTTCGAAAGCCCATCTGTCGTCCTCCACATTTACTTAAGTCTGAAGTCTGCCCTTGTTCGCTGCAAGCCTCTGCATTTGACTGCAAAAATTCTAGCTCTATGCTTTTAAAAGCTTGTTCATGCAAATTCTATTTTTACAATTCTCAACCATTTACAGCAAATAATATCTTCATATATGAAAAGCCTTCCGGTGCAGAAAATGTGTTGTTTAACTTTTGCTAGCATTCAAATTCAGTTCTGTCACCCAATAGGCTGGCCTGGCCCTGGCCCGGACACAGCTGAGGACCATTTACAGGCAAATTCCGCAAAATACATTGTTTTCGAAATTTGTAAACCATATTTGGGGCTTAATGAATCGGTTATTTGATAATGCAGCTGCAACAGCCAAAAACTTTGCCAAAATCAGTTGATGCCAAAGTTAGCAAAGTTTCAAACCTGTCTGTGCGTAAAATTTGCATAATGACTGACTCGCTGCAGCACAACGGTAAGGGGGTTGGCGGGGATGGGTGTAACAGGGGGGGGAATGGAGTGGGGTACAAGTCGAAATTCTCAAGTTGCAAACAAATATCGGTAACAGCGGCAGCAGTCGAGGCAGAGGCTGCTGCAACAATGTGGCAGAAACTGAATTTATGAATTTGATTTTTGCCTGTCCGAAACCAACTGATGTTTATTTTTATACCCTGCAGCCATCAAATGGGCGTAGTGTTGCTTAGCCGTAAACAGTATCCTAGACAAATTTACAAATTACGCCAGGAGCACATTTGCAATGCATTTTGCGTTTGGAATATTCTCAACTGGTTCACAATGAAACCTAATGTCTGGCAGTTAAGAAGAGTTATCGCCTGGCAGATACATTTACGATGCAAGACACAAATAGTATTGCTTGTGGTATAGTATTGTATTGTTAAAGCCTAGTAACATATTTTGCAACTATCGCAAATGTATCTCCCAGGCGATTTTCTCGCTAACGCATATTTTACTCAATGTCTACGCCCAAAATAAATGCTCGTCTTATGGAGGCCAGGTTAATAAAGTCCGTTAGAGAGATTATAAAATGATTAATAGGATGAGTTTTTACTGTATTCGAGAGTCGCGGAAGAGGAGAAATGAATAAAAGAGAAGGCAGTGAGTCTCCACTGTATTTGGCAGACATTTTCTTTTCTTTATGTTTTAGGCAGCTACAGGGTATTTGCTAGTGGGGTATTCTCTACTTGTTGCATACGCACCTATTTTCTCCTCGCTGTGCGGCGTCGTCAGGGCTGTGGCAGACGGCTTGCCGATTGAGTGCGGACTCTTGGAGTCATCCTCGCGCGAGCTGCGTGTGTCGTGATCCGAGGGTGTCGTCGTGTTGCTGTGACAATTCAAATTGCTCGCTTTGCGATTGCTGTTGTTGTTGTTGTTGTTGTTGATGTTTATGTTGTTGCTGCTGCTGTTGTTGTTGTTGTTGTTGTGATAAGCTGCTGCCAGAGCGCTGCTGCGACTGCTGCGCATGTGACTGCGCTGCTGTTGTTGCTGTTGTTGTTGCTGTTGCTGTTGCTGCTGCTGCGTTGCCACCGCGGCAGCCGCTGCGCTTTGCAGCAAACGCGACGTCTTGGCGGTGAGATCCAGGCGATCCACATCGACGCCATCGAAGCCATACCAGCCGAGCAGCTCGTTCATGGTGTGCTGCGCGAATTCCTGAAACGAAACAGAAGCATGGCCCAAATCAAGATTAACATATTACTGCCGGCATGCCAATTGTATAAGCTGACGCAGTTCGTCCAAGTGCACACCCAGGAATAACTCGTGGCTTGTGTCATTCAATAGCCCTCTCAGGCCCCAGCCAGAGCGTGCCCGGCAGCTGTATCTGGCGGCAATTCAATACGACCTATATACCCTTCTGCTTGTTTTCTTTTAGCCCTATCTACAACAGGTGCAGCTCACTGAGCCGCATAATTGTGGCTGCTTCTTGTTGCAACAGCAGCAGCCACAAGGTGTGGCCAATGCGGTGGCAGCAATATTTCAAAGATATTATCTGCTATTGCTAACAATCTTTAAATGGGTATTATGAATTTGATCCAGCAAATAGAACTTCAGAGCAGCAAATGCACGCCTAATAAAGATATATGGTGAAAGATAAAGGAAAGTAAAATCCAACTGCTGCAATGTTACATAACAGAAATGTTTACATAACTTTATTCTATAAAGATAACAGATGTTAACTACAGCTTGTTTAAATAAAAGCACGTCCGT